GGGGCAGATATAGTCCCAGGCAAGCATGAGACAGGAGCCTCCACAGGGGCCTTCTGTGGAAGAGTAAAAGAAGCAAGCCTTTTTCTATGTTCCCTGCAGGGCTGCAATTTTCAGACTTACCTATCATGCATGCAGAGTGTAAAGAACTCTTGCCGTTCTGGATAACAACTTGGCAGTTTCTCCAAACCCTAAAGATCCGCTTACCACATGACTCCGTAATTGTACTTCCGGGACAATAGTGAAACTTAAAACAATCAAACAAAGAAAATTTAAGTCCATACAGAAACCTGCACATGACTTATCAGTCATGATAGCAGCTTTATTTGTAATAGCCAGAAACCTAGAAAAAAATATCCGACAGTGGGAGGAAGGTTAAACAAACTGTGGCTTACTTACACTGTAATATCATGGAATACTATGTGGCAATAAAAAAGCAATAAATTACTAGCACACAAAATAAAGCGGGTAGGTCTGAAGAGCATTATGCTGAGCAGGAAAAGCTACCTCAGAAGGTTTATGAATCGTTATATAGTTGTATTTATATAAAATTGTCAAAATGACAAAATGACAGAAATAGATCATGAATGCGTGGTTGCTGAGGAGTAGGATGGTGGGGAGGGTGGATGGGACTACAGGAGGGCAGCATGGAGCAGGTCTTGGTGACAGAGCAGTTTCGTGTCCCGATGGTGGTGGTGGCTCCACTAGGTATGCACGCGACGCTATGACACAGATTTACACACTTGCAGTGTGCCGATCTTGGTATTCTGGTCTGGAATTGTACTTAGAATGATATCAGATATCATTACTGGGGGAAACTGAGTATAGAGGATCTTTGTGCTATCTTTAAAATGTCCTGTGACTATAATTATTTTACAACAAGAAGTTAGGGCCAAGGAGTTAACTTTGAAAAGTATCTTTACCCAATTAGCAATATGTGCTAAGAACCTTGAAAATAGAGATCTCTAGGAATCTCTGTCTAGCAACAGCATCTCTGTCTAGGAAGTTAGCCTTAGGAAATAATCAGAGATGCATATATAAATGTGCATTAAGATATTCACTATAATCTATCATTGCTGATCTCTAGGAATCTGTGTCTAGCAACAGCATCTCTGCTAGGAAGTTAGCCTTAGGAAATAATCAGAGATGCATATATAAATGTGCATATAAGATATTCACTATAATCTATCATTGAAATGAACAGTTGAAAGAGAAGAGTTAAGGCTTTGTTGTTCATTGTATGATAGGATACTTATGTAGCTTTTGAGGAATATTTAGCTATATGGAAAAATGCTTTATAACAGTGTTAAATTTTTTTTTAAAACAGGCCACAAAAGAGTGGCCCTATCATATGACCCAATGTTATTTAATACACACACAACATACATAAGGGAAGATACAAATGTGTCAAAATATTTGATGCTACAGTTGAAAGAGAAGAGTTAAGGCTTTGTTGTTCATTGTATGATAGGATACTTATGTAGCTTTTGAGGAATATTTAGCTATATGGAAAAATGCTTTATAACAGTGTTAATTTTTTTTTAAAACAGGCCACAAAAGAGTGGCCCTATCATATGACCAAATGTTATTTAATACACACACAACATTCATAAGGGAAGATACAAATGTGTCAAAATATTTGATGATGCTGCTATGCGGATCTTTACCTCTAAAGCAAACATTTCTTCTATAACAACAATCATCTTATTCACAAAGTCTAGTAGATCTGAAGGGAAGGAGAGGACTATATATTTACTTGGGACCCAACGCCAGACTCAGTACAGAAATATGTCATTTTATAATGAAAAAAATCCTTTTTAAAATAAAGATAGTAGCAGGGTGTGGTGGCGCACGCCTGTAATCCCAGCACTTGGGAGGCTGAGGCAGGAGGATTCCTGTGAGTTGAAGACCAGCCTGGCTACATAGTGAGTTCCAGGTCAGTCTCAACTACATAGTCAGTCCCTGTCTCGAAAAACAAAAAACAAAAAACAAACAAACAAACAAAAAAAATAAATAAATAAAATACAGATAGTTCTACAGGTAAGCCAGTACAGAATAGGACACACTAAAATTCCCAGGTCTTCATGCCATTCATCTGAAATAAGGGCAGAGAGGGGAGAGGAGACATATATTTTCCCAGTGCCCATTTTTCATGGGCTCTGTATAAACATAGATACCATTTTTTTCCTTCCCTGTGAATAATCTAGAATTTTCCATTGGCTATGATTTCTTGACAATCATGTTTTATGCTACAGAATTCTTTTTTATTCATTTTTTCAACTTTGGCAAAATGCACATATTGTAATACCACCTTATCTGTTTTGACATGTATATTTAGTTCAGTGTTGTTAAACACATTATTTTTTATTTATTTATTTATTGCGTCTATTGGTACAATCTAGGTCTGTAATACAGCTACATTCATTACTGGGATCCTGTACTAAACACCTATAATACAGCTACATTCATTACTGTGATCCTGCACTAAACACATTATTAATGCTATATCACCATCATCACCATATAACTCGATAACACTTATAAAAACCAAAACTATGTGCATTAAGTAACAGTTACCCATTTTTCCCTCTTCCTAATCATGACAACTATTCTACTTTGTCTGATTTTGACTAAGCATCCTATAAAGGCGGAATCACGCTGTATGTGTCATTTTTTGAGTGGCTCATTTCAGTTAGTACAATGTCCTTAAGGTTCATCAGGTACTGTACTGCAGAAAAACATTTTTTCTCAAAACTTAAGTCACTTTAAAGGCTGAACACCATTGCATTGCATGGATCCACCACAATTTTGCTGATCCATTCTTCTGTAGATGGACATTTGGTTGTTTTCAAATTTAGCTACCGACCATAGATTCTACATGGAAGGCATGGAAGGACAATTTTCAAATGTATGCTCGTATTATTGGCTCTGGAGGTAATCTACTGTATCTTCAGAAAGTTTTAGTCGCTAATTTCCTGGCTATGACTCTTTTAATCCAGGGCAATTCTGTGGAGAAGGGAGAAGCTGAGGGTTATTAGCAGTCAACTCTCCCAGCAGCTGGAGATGTGTTGGCCTGGGTGAGAAACTACAGCATCTATCAAATGGCCCATTCTTGTGCATTTTATGGTGAACAACCTTGCTAGTAATCTTTTGGCATATCTCTGATTAATTCCTAAAATAAATTCCTAGAGTAATTAAAACAAGTAGGCAATAGATTGACAATAGGCAATTGGTTGACAGATGAATAAGAAGAGAGAAGTGACACCAGGAGGTTGAAGGATGAAGGACCATCGGGCACGATCTGGGACAGGGCCCCTGATGGAGGGAAGGTCCGTCTCACCTTGGTGACAGGACCAGCATGAGCCTGGTACTCATTGAATTCTTTCTGTATAGGTAGAGGGTACTTCATGGCACGAATGGTTCCCACTGAGGTGCCCACAAACATCATGCGCCCAGAATGTGAGATGACAATAGCTGTGTAGATGACATCAAATGCTGACATCTCTCGAAGGATCTGGAACACAGACAGCTCTGTTCAGCTAAGAGGGTGAGCTATGTCTCTACTGTCCTGATGTCATTCTCTTCCTTTCCTTAAACAGCACTCTCAGAGGTCTGCATCTTTTTTCTTTTCCTTATAGCATTTGACATACTGCCTAGCACATAAAAGGCACAAACTAAGGATATCAAGAGGAGTGAATTTCTTGCCCTAGAGGAGATTTATCCTGGTGCTATAAAAACTGCCACAGAATCAGGACCACGCTACCTGGGGGCCTTGGGAAGAGTCACCACACATTAAGCTGTGTCCAACCATGATATTCATTTTTTCAACTTTGGCAAAATGCACATATTGTAATACCACCTTATCTGTTTTGACATGTATATTTAGTTCAGTGTTGTTAAACACATTATTTTTTATTTATTTATTTATTGCGTCTATTGGTACAATCTAGGTCTGTAATACAGCTACATTCATTACTGGGATCCTGTACTAAACACCTATAATACAGCTACATTCATTACTGTGATCCTGCACTAAACACATTATTAATGCTATATCACCATCATCACCATATAACTCGATAACACTTATAAAAACCAAAACTATGTGCATTAAGTAACAGTTACCCATTTTTCCCTCTTCCTAATCATGACAACTATTCTACTTTGTCTGATTTTGACTAAGCATCCTATAAAGGCGGAATCACGCTGTATGTGTCATTTTTTGAGTGGCTCATTTCAGTTAGTACAATGTCCTTAAGGTTCATCAGGTACTGTACTGCAGAAAAACATTTTTTCTCAAAACTTAAGTCACTTTAAAGGCTGAACACCATTGCATTGCATGGATCCACCACAATTTTGCTGATCCATTCTTCTGTAGATGGACATTTGGTTGTTTTCAAATTTAGCTACCGACCATAGATTCTACATGGAAGGCATGGAAGGACAATTTTCAAATGTATGCTCGTATTATTGGCTCTGGAGGTAATCTACTGTATCTTCAGAAAGTTTTAGTCGCTAATTTCCTGGCTATGACTCTTTTAATCCAGGGCAATTCTGTGGAGAAGGGAGAAGCTGAGGGTTATTAGCAGTCAACTCTCCCAGCAGCTGGAGATGTGTTGGCCTGGGTGAGAAACTACAGCATCTATCAAATGGCCCATTCTTGTGCATTTTATGGTGAACAACCTTGCTAGTAATCTTTTGGCATATCTCTGATTAATTCCTAAAATAAATTCCTAGAGTAATTAAAACAAGTAGGCAATAGATTGACAATAGGCAATTGGTTGACAGATGAATAAGAAGAGAGAAGTGACACCAGGAGGTTGAAGGATGAAGGACCATCGGGCACGATCTGGGACAGGGCCCCTGATGGAGGGAAGGTCCGTCTCACCTTGGTGACAGGACCAGCATGAGCCTGGTACTCATTGAATTCTTTCTGTATAGGTAGAGGGTACTTCATGGCACGAATGGTTCCCACTGAGGTGCCCACAAACATCATGCGCCCAGAGTGTGAGATGACAATAGCTGTGTAGATGACATCAAATGCTGACATCTCTCGAAGGATCTGGAACACAGACAGCTCTGTTCAGCTAAGAGGGTGAGCTATGTCTCTACTGTCCTGATATCATTCTCTTCCTTTCCTTAAGCAGCACTCTCAGAGGTCTGCATCTTTTTTCTTTTCCTTATAGCATTTGACATACTGCCTAGCACATAAAAGGCACAAACTAAGGATATCAAGAGGAGTGAATTTCTTGCTCTAGAAGAGATTTATCCTGGTGCTATAAAAACTGCCACAGAATCAGGACCACGCTACCTGGGGGCCTTGGGAAGAGTCACCACACATTAAGCTGTGTCCAACCATGAGGAAACCTGCCTCGGGTCAGTTTGCTTCTGGTAGCCAAGCTGGGAAACCTGCCTCGGGTCAGTTTGCTTCTGTGGTAGCCAAGCACCTCGCCAGGCACCAGCCCCATGAGAGGAGCTGAGAAAAAGCTAGAGAAACCAATGATATCAGCCATCCCTGGGCTTCTGGAGGATACAAGCCACATTTGTATGAAGTTTCCTTGCTGAGCCCTCTTCTCTGCCCTTAACTGTGTAGATCCAAATGTGATAATTCTAACATTTCAGAGGTGGGGATTTAGAAAAGAATATAGAGTTGACAAGCCCAGTTTGCAGTAGTTAATGATAGTTGTGTTTTTACCCCAGCTAAGTGTGCACTGTGAGCAAGAGTGCACTGGGCACGCTGCTGACACTCATGCCCGGAGGGTAGAAGAGAAGTCATAGACAGCGTGCACAATGGAAGTGGAAAGAGGCAACACAATTTAGCCCAGTCTGGAAGGGTGACGGGCAGGAAATTCAAGAAGTAGCAATAACTTAGCTGACCTAACAGAGAGAGTAGCCAGGTGTTTGACATGTATATTTAGTTCAGTGTTGTTAAACACATTATTTTTTATTTATTTATTTATTGCGTTTATTGGTACAATCTAGGTCTGTAATACAGCTACATTCATTACTGGGATCCTGCACTAAACACATTATTAATGCTGTGTCACCATCATCACCATATAACTCGATAACACTTATAAAAACCAAAACTATATGTATTAAGTAACAGTTACCCATTTTTCCTTCTTCCTAATCATGGCAACTATTCTACTTTGTCTGATTTTGACTAAGCATCCTATAAAAGCAGAATCACGCTGTATGTGTCATTTTTTGAGTGGCTCATTTCAGTTAGTACAATGTCCTTAAGGTTCATCAGGTACTGTACTGCAGAAAAACATTTTTTCTCAAAACTTAAGTCACTTTAAAGGCTGAACACCATTGCATTGCATGGATCCACCACAATTTTGCTGATCCATTCTTCTGTAGATGGACATTTGGTTGTTTTCAAATTTAGCTACTGACCATAGATTCTACATGGAAGGCATGGAAGGACAATTTTCAAATGTATGCTCGTATTATTGGCTCTGGAGGTAATCTACTGTATCTTCAGAAAGTTTTAGCCGCTAATTTCCTGGCTATGACTCTTTTAATCCAGGGCAATTCTGTGGAGAAGGGAGAAGCTGAGGGTTATTAGCAGTCAACTCTCCCAGCAGCTGGAGATGTGTTGGCCTGGGTGAGAAACTACAGCATCTATCAAATGGCCCATTCTTGTGCATTTTATGGTGAACAACCTTGCTAGTAATCTTTTGGCATATCTCTGATTAATTCCTAAAATAAATTCCTAGAGTAATTAAAACAAGTAGGCAATAGATTGACAATAGGCAATTGGTTGACAGATGAATAAGAAGAGAGAAGTGACACCAGGAGGTTGAAGGATGAAGGACCATCGGGCACGATCTGGGACAGGGCCCCTGATGGAGGGAAGGTCCGTCTCACCTTGGTGACAGGACCAGCATGAGCCTGGTACTCATTGAATTCTTTCTGTATAGGTAGAGGGTACTTCATGGCACGAATGGTTCCCACTGAGGTGCCCACAAACATCATGCGCCCAGAATGTGAGATGACAATAGCTGTGTAGATGACATCAAATGCTGACATCTCTCGAAGGATCTGGAACACAGACAGCTCTGTTCAGCTAAGAGGGTGAGCTATGTATCCACTGTCCTGATGTCATTCTCTTCCTTTCCTTAAACAGCACTCTCAGAGGTCTGCATCTTTTTTCTTTTCCTTATAGCATTTGACATACTGCCTAGCACATAAAAGGCACAAACTAAGGATATCAAGAGGAGTGAATTTCTTGCCCTAGAGGAGATTTATCCTGGTGCTATAAAAACTGCCACAGAATCAGGACCATGCTACCTGGGGGCCTTGGGAAGAGTCACCACACATTAAGCTGTGTCCAACCATGGGGAAACCTGCCTCGGGTCAGTTTGCTTCTGTGGTAGCCAAGCACCTCGCCAGGCACCAGCCCCATGAGAGGGGCTGAGAAAAAGCTAGAGAAACCAATGATATCAGCCATCCCTGGGCTTCTGGAGGATACAAGCCACATTTGTATGAAGTTTCCTTGCTGAGCCCTCTTCTCTGCCCTTAACTGTGTAGATCCAAATGTGATAATTCTAACATTTCAGAGGTGGGGATTTAGAAAAGAATATAGAGTTGACAAGCCCAGTTTGCAGTAGTTAATGATAGTTGTGTTTTTACCCCAGCTAAGTGTGCACTGTGAGCAAGAGTGCACTGGGCACGCTGCTGACACTCATGCCCGGAGGGTAGAAGAGAAGTCATAGACAGCGTGCACAATGGAAGTGGAAAGAGGCAACACAATTTAGCCCAGTCTGGAAGGGTGACGGGCAGGAAATTCAAGAAGTAGCAATAACTTAGCTGACCTAACAGAGAGAGTAGCCAGGTGCTATTCAATAAGGAAGAGCCCTTTTTCTGGGCACACTTTCTGCTGTAGGCACAGGAGGCTTCTGCGGGGCTGTGCGGCAGCCAAAGGGGTGTGCAGGGCAGGCTCACCGAAGAATCTGCAATCTCCTTGAGGGTCTGGTCCGATCCAACTTGTGTGCGGGAGAGGCTCACCGAAGAATCTGCAATCTCCTTGAGGGTCTGGTCCGATCCAACAGCAAAGATAATTTTGGCATCAGGGGAGATGGTAACACAGTTGTAGCTGCAGGACTTGAGCACACACTCTGTCTCTCTCTCCTGAGGACATCTTCTGCGGGGCTGTGCGGCAGCCAAAGGGGTGTGCAGGGCAGGCTCACCGAAGAATCTGCAATCTCCTTGAGGGTCTGGTCCGATCCAACAGCAAAGATAATTTTGGCATCAGGGGAGATGGTAACACAGTTGTAGCTGCAGGACTTGAGCACACACTCTGTCTCTCTCTTTCCTGAGGACAGATTCCATTCATATACAGCGCCATCTGTGCCAGCAGAAATCAGTTTGCTGTCATCTGCATTCCACACAACTGAACGGATCTGCAGAGGACAAAGTCAGCCGGGAGGAAGTGGTACCCGTGTGTGTGTGTGTGTGTGTGTGTGCACACACTCATATACACACCCCAGTATGGGAAGGGGATGAGTTCCTCAGGTACTCTACTAGATGAATTCAGATTATTTCTTCCTGCTGGAGGGCCTCCCTTCTATAATTACAAAACACAGTCTCTTGGAAATGTTAACATTTTGTTTTTCAAATTTTTTTGGTACCAGGGATTGAAGTCAGGACCTTCCACTTGTGAGTCAGGCGGCTGCATTACTGAGCTACATCCCCAGCCCAAAAGCACAAACTTTTTCTTTTTCTGGTACCACCAGAGTTGAATTTCTTGCCCTAGAGGAGATTTATCCTGGTGCTATAAAAACTGCCACAGAATCAGGACCATGCTACCTGGGGGCCTTGGGAAGAGTCACCACACATTAAGCTGTGTCCAACCATGGTCAGATATCAAACTTGGGTCCTTGTGCTTGCAAGGCAGGTGGCAGAACCACTGAGCTAAATCCCTGGCTGCTCACATTTTGTTTTTTAAGAGGCTTGCAAAACCCTGAGGACAAGCACTCCTATTTCTTTTGTACTTTATGAATGCAAAGACTGAATCACAATGGCTTCTTAATGCTATATTACCAGTCAAATATTGCTGTGTCTTATCAAACTTGGGTCCTTGTGCTTGCAAGGCAGGTGGCAGAACCACTGAGCTAAATCCCTGGCTGCTCACATTTTGTTTTTTAAGAGGCTTGCAAAACCCTGAGGACAAGCACTCCTATTTCTTTTGTACTTTATGAATGCAAAGACTGAATCACAATGGCTTCTTAATGCTATATTACCAGTCAAATATTGCTGTGTCTTAAAATTTTTAATTTTTAAACATTTATTATTTATTCCCAGGCAGTTGCAAAAATAGCACAGAGTAGATTTCCAGAATGGCAGAGTAAGGATCTCAGCTAATCCTAATGAAGTAAGTGAACTGATAAAAATGATCAAAACAACTATTTAAAATCTCTGGAAGTTGTGTTAGGGTATATGGCAAGTGAAGAAACATTCACTCAAGAAAATCTACCCTGTCTCAGTAAGAACAGTCTGTGGCCTTTGAGCCATGACTTGCCCCATTACCCACCCCAGCTCTAGAAATGGCACTGCTGCGTACTCTGGGCAAGAGTTGCCAAGACCAAGGGACTCCTGGTCCCTGCAGCTCCTGGTATTGGGCTATAGTTTCACCCCAGGAAGGGCAGACAGGTAATGTTTCGCATCCCTAGCCTCTTGTTGCAGGAGCTGTAACCCAGGCAGGCATGGCCAAGAAGACCTGGGTTCCCTCCCACCTGCAGTTCTCACTTGTAAGCAGAAGCTCTACTGTAAGTGCAATAGGTGAAGAATAGTGGTGCCTGATTGCTCCTGCCCCATTTTGCTGAAGGTTGGGGGTTCCTCGCCCTGAGGAGCAAGCTGAAAAGACCAAGGATTTCCATTTATCCTGCTCTCACAATTTCCAGAGTGGGGCTATCACTCTTGGAAAGCAGGTCCTTGTCCCTAGATCTGGTACAGTGGAGCAAGGGTCTGCCCAGGGGAGATTCAGGCCCTGACACAAAGAGCTCCACAGCTCTGCCTGTGAGGACTGCATTTGGAACAGAACATGGAAAAGTCTGTGCTTATGGGCATGTGTAAAATCTTGGCAGGGAGTGACTAGGAAGAGCTGGTAACCACAATATAAGCGAAATTACAGAGCAACAGAATTTTAATAGAACAAGGGAGAGTCAAGAAGAGCTCCTTTGGGGTTCACAGACAACTCTAGGGAGGGGCTCCCCCTCAGCAGCAATCAGAGCAGGACACAGGAAAACACAAAAGCACCTCCTAAACTACTCGAAGGCCAGTTTACTCAAAGGTGAAAATCTCACTTGGCCCAGTGGACCAAGTAATACTGAACAATCAATCAGGGGCATCTAAGAAGGCAGGCTTAGAAATAGTCACTTATCTTTGGCATCCTGGAAGACTGTGTACCTGAGCAAGGCCTCGCCTTGTCAAGTACAGCGCAGGCCCATCCCAACTACCAATCTCTCCTGAAAACAGAGAAGAAACCATAAATTCACTGAATTGTGATAGCAGCTTCCAAGTACATATGCATCCAGCAGTACAAAGTAAAAATTTAATTGGCTACGGGGCTTATGCACAGCCTGTGGTTAATAGGCAGTGTATGCCACCCAGAGGCAAATCCTAGGTAGACAGGTTAGAAGCCTAGAAAGAAAAATCTAGGCATGTATGTCAGAGGCTTCCTAGTACTGTATCACAGGGGAAAATGTGTCACAGGATTAGCTCCACCAAGTTATTAAATGAATAACCAACCAACCAACCAATTGACCAATCAACCAACTACCACTACCAATAAGAACAACTCCCTAGGGAGAGAAGTATTCAGTATTGCTACAATATATTGTCTGAAATATTTTATCAGTTAAAAACTTATTAAATATGCAACAAACAACCCAAACAGATAGTGTGACCAAAAAGGAAAAGAAAGGGAAAAGGTAGACAGACAAAAGAAACTGCCTTTGGAGGTGCCAAGATGGTGGAGTTAGCAGAGACTTCAAAGCAGCTAATATAAATACATTCAGTGAACTAAAGGAAACCATGTTTAAACATTGAAAGGAAGGCACAATGACAAATCTTATCCAATAAAGGATATCAATAGGAGACAGAAATGATTTAAAAATCAAGTGGAAATTCTAGAGTTGAAAAGTACAATAATCAGGATGAAGATGGGCTGGGGATTTAGCTGCCTGCTTAGCAAGCACAAGGTCCAGAGTTCAATTCCCAGGGCCAAGGATTTGGCTCAGTGGTTCTGCCGCCTGCCTCACAAGCACAAAGGCTTGAGTTCTATCCCTAGTACCCCCGCCCCCAAAAAGATATAGTACAATCACAGATTATGCTTTCTTTATTCTTTAAACTGACTTAACAAATTTACAAATTAACACTTGTTCTCATTTTTTTTCCATTGTCTTTCTTAAAAGACACAATAAGGTCATACAGAATAATAATAAACAATATATTGTTGGGCTTATAAACACAAAAAAATGTAATATGTACAGCAATGACAGCCCAACAAAGGATAGTGCTGAATGGACTCTGTGAGAGAAAAGCTTCTATATTTTACTAGAAGTAAGTCAGATAAATTTGGAAGTTAAAACTCTTGATTTTTTCCCATCAGCCCATTAATATGGTAGATTATACTGACTGATTTTCAAGTATTGAACCAGCATTTTATTCCTAGAATAGATCTCACTGGTCATGAAATATACTGCCTTTTAATATATATTGCTAGATTCAATATACTAATACAGTGTTAAAAACTTCTGATTCTATGGTCATGAAGGACATTGATTTGTACGTTTTGTTGTTGTTGTTGTTTTTAATATACTCTTTTTGCCAGGTTTTGGCATCACAGTATATTGGTTTTGTCAAATGAGTTGGGCTAGGTTACCTCTTCTATTTTCTGGAAGAGATTGTGTAGACTTGGTTTTTAATTCCTCTTTAAATGTGTATGTACACCATCTATATCTGTTAGCTACCTATCTCTAGGTATTAAACATCATGAATTCACGCTGATACCTCCAATTTTGATTCAAGCACAAGATTAATTCTAGTCCAGCTCCCTTGCCACATCTATAACTTCCTTCTCCAATATGAGAAACCTAGGTCCTATTATCTTCACTATATTTGCTCTTCTCACTGTCCCTATAAGTCACCAATCTTGTGACTCACTGGCCACCCATTAGGGTATCTCTGTGATTCCTGCCCTGTCTGCCATATCTTTAGCCATCTTCTCAACCCATCTCCACCTTTTAAATAATATTTTATAGTTGTTTGTTACTGTTATATAAGAATATAATTTTAAAATATAGTGAGTTTATTTCCAATAATATTTCTAGATTTACTCATTTTAAGTTTATCTGAACATTGTTTGAATTTTCTACATAATCAAATGTTGGTTGTGATAGTTTTATTTCTTATTTTCCAATATTTATGCTTTTTAGTTCCTTTTGTTGCCTTATTTCACTAGGCAGGACTCAGGAGAAGGATAAACAAAGGCATTATATTTGCTCATTATCTCTGAAGGAATGCTTTCATAATTTAATGATAAAGAATACTGTTTGTTGTAGGTTTTCTATAAATATAGAGGATTTAGGGAGTTCCCCATTGTTTCTAGATGGCCAAGTGCTTTAAAAATCATGAATGGATGTTAATCTCATCAATTTTAGTGTACCTACCTTTAGAGAGGTGAGCTCATGATTTTTTTCTCACATTAATTAGGTAGAACACATTACTTAATTTCAAAATCTAAAACAATTATGCATTTCTGGATAAGCCCAACTTGGTTATTCTGTATTATCCTTTTTATATGTTTCTGGATTAGTTTTGTAATATTTTATTTAAGACTCTTCTATCTTAATGAAAAAGACTGGCTTATTTTTTTCTTGTGTCTTTGACAGCTCTTGGTATCACAATTATTCTGAGCTCATAGACCAACACTTGGGAAGCAGACGTTTTCAATTCTCCAAAAGAGATTTTTTTCAAGATCAGCATTATTTTATTTCTTTAAATTTTGACAGGGCTGGCGATTTAGATCCATAGCATAGCACCTGCCTGGCAAGTATGAGGTCCTGAGTTTGATCCCCAGTACCAGAAAAACAAAACAAAACACAAAAATAAAAAATAAAAATAAATAAACAGATGTTGACATAATTCTCCAGTGATCTGATCTGGGCCTGGAGTTTACTTTATAGGATGTTTTTTCATTGCAGTTCCATTTCATAGAAATTTTTCAGTTTCATCTACATATTCAGATTTGTTTATATAAAGTTGTTCATAATATCCCCAAACTTTTGATTTATAGAGGACCCGTGATGACATCCCCTTTTCATTCCTCAAAATGGGTATGCATATCTTCTTTCTCCTTTTTCCTTGATCAGTCATGCTAAGGATTTGCCTATTTGGTGTTTTCAAAAATCAGGTTTTGGCTTTGATAGTCTTATTTTGTAGCTTTGTTTTCTTTCTTTTCTTCCCTTTTGATTTCTTTTGTTCTTTTTTTGAGACAGGATCTCGTTTTGTTTTACAGGCTGGCTCTGAACTCACTATGTAGCCCAGGCTGGCCTCAAACTCACAGCAATCCTCCTGCCTCAGCCTCCCGAGTGCTGGGATTACAGGCGTGCGCCACCACACCTGGCTTCATTTGTTTTCTATTTCATTAACTTCTCTTCTTGTCTTTATTGTTTCCTGCCTTTTATTTTCTTTGAAGTTGTTGTTCTTTGAGATAGATGCTTATATCATTGATTTTCATTTCTAATATGTATATTTATGGTTATAAATTTCTCTATGTATGGCTTAAGCTGCATCCTCTCAATTTTTAAAACATGTTACACATGTAGCTCCAACATATACCACCAATTAGAGACCACTGTTTTAAATTCTTGTAAAATGATGACACAAATGGCTGCTTTCTTGGACTGGTGGGGTGGGGCTCCCCAGGGGGGCACACACAGTCCTAGAAAGAGCATCCGAATTACCTTCTGTGCTGTCACCTGCATCTCCTCTGTCACCTGAAGACTGGTTTGTTGTTAAAGCTAAGGGGAGTTGAGCGGCTGTCAATAATAATGCTTGTGTTTGCATGGTACCTTTAAATCCTTCCAACTTATATATATTTTTCCTTCTCATAACCTGTTAATTGTTAATCAATGGTCAGCTTTTAGTCTTTATGAGTACATGATATTTTCTGATATCTAGTACCACTGATAACTTTATCCTTTTGAAGGTTATTTGGTTCCCTTCTTTGATACAATTCTCCATTCCAGGTTCTTCTTGTATTGTCATTTTCAGACGCCTCTTCTTCTATCCAACCCCTAAATGTTGGTCAACTCTCTCCTGCCTAAGACTCTTCTCAGATTCCACACAGGCCCTTGGTGATCTGATCTATCCTCCACTTCCACTATCACCTAATCCCCCAAATTTTCACTTTCAGCCTTGATTTCTTTTCTGATCTCCACACATATACATAACATATCCAAATGGAATGTAATACCTATTTTATACCCACTGTGAAAGTCATGGTTGAGTTCCAAACTCATCTTTTACCCTCACTTCCTAGATGGTCTCCATCACTCTAGCTTCTGTCTTCTCTAATGCAGCTTCAACCCCGTTTCAAGAATTACCTCTCTGGCATACATACACTGCCTTCTAGAAAACATCCAAACTCTCTAGATCCCTCTTTTATCCCTCCTCAAATGTGCCCAATATTCTAGCTACAGAAAACATGAAGCACCATCCTATTTCGTACCCCCCACTCCATCCTCTCTTTCACCTTCTGCCTGGGATGCCTTCCCATTCCAACTGCCTCTTTTCTTCAGATCCCTTTGCTGACTTTTCGCCCATTAGATCTTTGTCTTCTTCCTGTTCATGACTGATAACAATCCACTCCAGGATCTATTGATTTCATTTTCTAAATATCTTTCCCCTAACTGTGCTACTACCACTGTGGTTCAAAACACTATCATTTAGCGTGTAGACATTCACAAGAGCCCCTTTATCATTTCCATCCTCAACATATTCTTTATTCTGCAGCCAAGGCAATCTTTAAAATGCAAATCTGGTCTATCACTTCCTGCCCTGAAAATCCTCAATGATTTTAAGGAATAAGGAAGACAAGATAAAATCTTCACAAGGCCCACAAGGTTCCGTGTGTTGAGGCCGCTGTGAACATCTCCAGTGTCAGCTGACCTCCTGCTTCATCCAGGTACCTATGTTCTCAGCCCCACAGTTCCTCTGGCAGCTGCTGCAGTCTCTGTGGGTCTTTAAATCCTTATCTACAGTAATTACTAGCTCTGTCTGGTTAATTCCTCCTCACTGCAGGACTAAGCCTTTGTAAACTGCCCCAACCTGTTATGCCTACTCCTTTGTTATTTCCTCTTACAGGAAACCCTTGTTTTCCTTCACTGAATTAACTAGAGTCTGTGCATTTGCTTTACAGTTTCTTTTCCCAAGTAGACAGTGAGCTCCATGCGGAAAAAATTGCTCCACCTTTGTTTACCTGTATCCCATCCACTAGCATAGTACGTGCTTCCAGGTCCCTTGTTTCCCAAATGCTGTTCATTCACTTACCTTCCCTGTGTGTCCTTTCAGGTTTGTGATGTTCTCCAGGCTTGTGGTGGTGAAAATGTGAATCACATTTCCATTGACTGCAGCAAACAGGTGACCTCCATTGCTAAAGGAACACTACAGGGAAGCAAGAGCAAGCTGATGAGCGACAAGCGGCCTAACTGGAGGCTGCGGTCTGGTGGGGCATTTCTGGCAGAGTTTAGGTGGGAACTACAATTCCTAGGGACAGTCGGGCTGATATTTTCAGACACCTTCAGACTATTCCTGTAGCTCCCATCAGCCAAGATGCTGACACTGCCATTCCCACTGGTCACTGAGCTGCTTTAATCACAGAGCTGTAGAAAGTGGGGAACTGATTCCCCAAAATCAAAGTCTTGTGTTGTGAGTTATCTCAGGGGCATACAAGGCAACCTGATGGACCACCGACTGCCTCTCACGGTTGATGTTAATGTCCCTGGCTCCTCCCAATTTCCGTTCTTGTGGTCCCAGCTAGAACTTCCATTCTGAGATTCCTTTTTCCATATTTGTTGAGGCTCCATGATCATAGAGAAAAAGTTATTAAGGTGGGGATATCACAAAGCTTTAGGGTCAACAAAATTATTTCGGTTGGCGTTAAGAAACAGGGGTAGAATCATATACTGTAAGAATTTGAATGAACCGGAGTTTTAAAAAGCCACTAAAGTTCTAAAAGGCAGACTTTGGTTCTATCTCTCTACAGAGTGTTCCTTCTTGGTACTGGTATTTCAACCCTGACTTTCCAAGAAACTGGACCTTTATCTCCAGCAGCTTTTTACCTCTCTGCATCCTCTGACAGAGTATTCTTTGAAAAGACGTATATCATCAATGAGTAGATTCATAAGGCGTAGCTTGTCAGCAAACCCTACTATAATGTAGTGTCCAGATGGATGAAGACTGATTGCATATGCCTCTTCTTGATACTCCTTAAATAGCTCAAGAGTGCTGTGAAAACAATAAAAAATTGAATTATAACCCAAATTCCTAGACCCCTCAAGTCTTCCTTTGAACATAGTATATATAGTTATCACAGCATTTGTGATACTTTATTGCTTGCAATCACTGGTTCCTCTCTTTTTTTAGATTCTGGATACTTGAGGATAACATCTGGCTCTGAGCATGGCCGGGGGAGATCTGATCGAGGTATGATCTAGGAATGGTGAAGACACAGTTCTGTTGAGATTCTAAGAATTTTAAGTACTGTACAGGTATGTTTTTTTCAGCAGCCCTAGAGCTTTATACAAGAGCAAAGAAAATAGTATGGATCTAACCTAAGGTTGGAAATTCTCAGGGAAGCTAGCCAGAAGGGTGTACTCCCTAGGGAGTTGGGAATATTTTGGACAGCGCAGAGGAGAAAGACGAGAAAAGGATCTGAAACACTCTTTAAAACAAAAAACCAGACCTAGTTGAATGGAGGGGACAGGAGAGCTAGAGGGCTGGTAGAATTTATGTAAGAAGGTGAGATCTTGGGGTGTTTTATATCTCTAGTATCCATAACAGGATCTGGTACATAGTAAGCATTTAATTAATCACAAATTAATTTTCTATCCCATACAAGAGTGAGAAACAGACTGGATGACTTGATTTAAAAAAAGGCTTTTCCAACTGAAAGCTTCTAAGTAATTAAATTGTAAAACTCTCTAAAACTATTCACGTAAACAAATTTAACAATGGAAATTCTGCACACTACCACAGCAAAGCCCTTCATTCCTTACTTTGATTCGTAATTCCAGATGCGAACGGATCGATCCAGGGAACAGGTGGCAATGAGAGGTTTTCGGATGCAAGTAGCTAGACTGGTGATGGACGCTGAGTGTAAGGGGTACAACAGGTACTCGAAGTGAGCAGCCTCCCCCTGGAGAGAGCACACATAATGAAACCCAGCAGGGTGAGCAAAAGGCTGGTTACCTACTTCAGCTCTAATTAGTACCTGGGAATGTTAATTAGGCTGTATGCACAGAAATCTAGCCTTAGCAAATCGTCTCAATGGTATGTATATTTCCCTATGATGGCATTATTCAAAAATTATTTTAATGGGAAGAAAATCTTCATTCTGAGTATCCTGTAATTTAATCTAACCCTTCCTTTACCATAGGGATATTAAAGTGGTTTCTATTTTTATTGTTATTTAGGCACAATACTAGACCAAATATCCATGTACCTATAAGTCTTTGAGCACCTCTGACTTTTCCTCAGGATGTTTTTCTAGCAGTGGTATGATGGGTAAAATGGTATAAATGATTTTGAGTATCTTATTATGTATCACCAAGTTTCTCTCCAAAGAGACTGTACTAATTATTCTAACAGCAGCAGCAAATGAGAGTTGAATGAATGATTTTAAATTGAAATGTATCCTACTGCAGTGACTATACTATTACAGATGTTTGTTATCAGAGGCATTATCCCTGGAACATCTAAATAAGGAGTGATATTAGGAAATTTGATGGAGTGTACACATTTTAGGTTTGTACGCAGGATAAAGGCTGACAGTGAATTCTCTCAAATTCTGGCTCTCCCTCACCTATAGGTATCCCTTCCTTCCTTTTCTACTACCTCAGAGAAAGAGGCACTGTGCTAGGATGGGAGCAGGTACAGATCATTTCTGTTCTTCTCCATCTGTTACCCCTTTTACCCTCAATATCTTTAATATTCCTGTCTCTGCCAGCACATTCTCATTAGCTTTGAAACACCCTCAAATCTTTCAACTTTCTTGCTTTATAGACTATAGAAATTCTTTATCTTACCCCTCCTCTTTGTACATACGCCTGAGTAGTTGTGAAATCATAGGGAATCAGACAAAGAGGCTTAGTTTCCCTTAGAATTCATGATCACAAACCTCCAGTGGGTATTTAATGCATCCTGGTAACATTTTCCAATACTGTTTATTTTCTAAACCTCCAAGATAATGATTTCATACTATTTTTTCCCTCTTAGAAAATCTTCTAAATTCATTCTTGATCTATATATCTCATCTGATATTACCTCATAGTTCTTTGATTTTGTATTCTTTATCTTGTATCTCAGAAGCACAGTTGTAGACTATCATAATTAATTAATGTAAAGCCAATTTTATTTAATCTTTCTTCCCCCTATTTCTTTGCTACTGTCCTTCCCTTAACATAGGTACCAACTGATGACTTTTACCTCTCTCCTTGAATATATTCATATTTCTATCAGTGCAATTGTGTTATAGATTTCATTCTCTGTTTTCATTTTCATTGCTATATTTTTAAGGAATCATATATGGTTGGCATATATAATTTATTGCTTCTATCTGATGTTTGGTATTCAATAATATACATCCAGTTACTTTATGTCTCCATTAACACCAGGGATGGACAACAAGAGTGTTTTCAATTGCCTATTGCTAAAAGCGCTAAAATGACACCCTTGCACATGTTCCTTAATGGATCCATGGGTTGGAATTTCAGGTATGTATCTGGTGGCAGACTACTGGATAATAAACTATATACGTTCTTTACTTAGTTCTCTGCCAAAAACTATCAGGCTGCTCTCTAGAACTGCTGTCTCCGTTTACACTGTTATGGCTACTATTTACAGGCCCCCTCAAAGGTTCATGGACTCATAGGTGGGGCTTTTGGGAGGGGAATGGATCACAGGGACACGATCCTCATCAGTGGATGAAGTCCACTGGTGACTTCATATCTAAATGTGATGTGAGAGGGGAAGCCTCCTCAGAGGAGGTGTCACTGGGAGCACGGCCTGAAAGTCTGTCTCCCCGCCTCCTCCCCTCAATCTTTCTGCTTCCTCCCGCCATGCCATGAGCAGTCTACTCTGCCACGTCTCTTTGCCATCTTATCCTGCCTTGAAGGCAGGGAGCCTAAATAAACTTTTCCTCCTTTAAGTTGCAGGTGTCAGGTACTATGTCTTAGCAACAAGAAAGTAATGGATACATTCCCATCTTATCACATTAAGATTCCCATCCCTCCTTGTTCTTGGAAATCTCTGGTGATATCTAATTTTAATAGAAGAATAAAGTAATTCCTTACAAAAAAATATCAGAGTTATTTTAATTTGTATTTTTCTGCTCACAGGCAACAGAATGACCCTGAGAACAACCAGAGTTGGATTTAACAGACGATGGCTTCAAAGATACCATTATAAATATGTTCAAAGAACTAAAAGAAATTATGATTTTTTTTTGGCGGGGGACAGGGTTTTACTATGTAGTTCAGGCTGGCCTCAACTTGCCATGCTCTTATCTCAGGCTTGAGAGTGCTGGAATTACAAGCAGAAATCACAACTTAAAAAATAAATAAATAACAATAGTGTTCATCAAGTAGAGAACATTAATAGAAGGATACATAGTATAAAAATACTGTTGTGGAACTAAAAAGTAAAATAACTGAAATAATCTACTAAAGTGGCTCAACAGTAGATTTGAATTTGCAGAATTAGTGAGCTTGACAGGTCAATAAAGATTACACAGTTTGGCCAGATGTGGAGGCGCATGCCTATAATCCCGGCACTCGGGAGGCTGAGGCAGGAGGATCGCTGTGAGTTCAAGACCAGCCTGGGCTACATAGTGAGTTCTGGGTCAGTCTCAACTATATAGTGAGACCCTGTCTCAAAAAGATTACACAGTTTGAAGAAAACAGAGAAAAAAAGAATGAAAAAAATTAACGGATCTACAGATAAATATGAGACACCACCAAGTACACCAACAGGTACATAATGTGAATATGAGAGGATAAGAGAGAAAGGAGCTAAAATACTTGAATAAATGATGGATAAAACTATTGGTTTTTTAAATTTAATCAATGCTTATTGAAATACATTAATGTACGTTTATAGGAAGCTCAATGAATTACAAGTAGAAAAAACACAAAGACATTCACAGACATCATGATAAAAATGTTGAAAGCTTTTTTTTCCCCCCTCAAGGAGAAAATCTCAAAAGCACCACAAGATCGCTTACAGAGGAAACCCACTAAGACTAACAGCAGACTTCTCAGTAAAGACAACAGAAACCAGAAGGGAGAGGCAATATGTTCAAGATGCTTAAAGAAAAAATTATCAACCTAGAATCCCATGCATAGCAGTTGTATTTTTATATTCTTTTTTTTTTTTCTCGTTGAGTTTATTGTTACATTTTAGGTCTACAGTACAGTTTCATTCATCATTGGGCTCTTGTACCTTTACATGACAGGACTTGGTTCTGTATTTTCATATTCTTGAAATGAACAATTCAAAATGAACTAAATTCCATTTACAATAATACCAAAAGAATAAATATTAGCTGGATATGGTGGTACATGCCTCTAGTCTTAGCTACTCCAGAGGCTGAGGTGGGAGGATCTTTTGAGTTTATGAATTTGAGACCAGCCTGTGTAACATGGTGAGACCCCCCCACCTCAAAAAATGTAGGAAAAAATTAATAAGTGTGAAAGTCACAGTCTGAAAATTATAAAACATTATAAAAAACAAATGATCTTTGTTCATGGATTGGAAGGCTTAATATTGTTAAGATGACCATAGATAGTCCCTAAATTGGTCTATAAATTCAAATCCCAAATATCAGAATCTCAGATTGCTTCTTTTTAGATATTGACAAGCTGATTCTAAAATCCATATGAAATTGCAAGGGACCCAGAATAGCCAAAATAATCTTGAAAAAGAAGGACAAAGTTGAAAGTTTCAGGTTTCCTGATTTTAAAACTTACTAAAAAACAACAGTGATCAAGATAGTGGCAGGGGGACAGAAAGACAGAACAATGGAATAGAAGTGAGGGTCTAGAAATAAATCCATGTATCAACTGAATTTTTTTCACAAAGACCATTCAAAGTAGAAAATATAACAAACTGGAATAATTTGGTATCTGTATGCAAAAGAATGAAGTGGATTCATACTGCTTGCCATATACATAAACTCAAAATGGATGAAAGAACTAAATGCAAGAGCTAATAGTATAAAGCTATTAAAATATAGGGATAAATCTTCATAACTTCATCTATGGCAGTGGGTTTTAAAATATTATACTAAAGGGACAATGAACAACAAGAACAACAACAACAACAACAACAACAAAAAACCCCAGCTAAACTGACATCATGAAAATTGAAAACTTTCCTGACTCAAAAGACATTTCAAGAAAGTGAAAAGACAACTCACAGATTGGGAGAAATTGTATCTATAGTACATGAATAAGTGCTACAATTTAAAAAAAGAAACCTTACTATTCAATAATACAAAGAGAACACAAGTTTTGAAATGATCAATAGATCTGGGCAGACATTTCTCTGAGACATACAAATGCTCCAATGCACACGAAAAGGTGCTCAAAATTATAGTCATCAGGGAAATGCAAATTAAAACCATGATGAGATACTGCTCCACGTCTTCTAGAATGGCTGCAATCAAAAAGTCAGACGATAACCAGTGGTCTCAAGGACAAAGAGAAACCAGAACCCTCAAACACTACTTATGGGGGTATAAAATGTTGTAGTTACTTTAGAAAACATTCTGGCAGCTCCTAAAATGACTGAGCTTTTTTTTAAAAACAAAATTCACATTTTATTTAGATTGAAAGAAACTATACATAATTTTCTTCACCCAAAATAACAGCAAGATTTTCTGTATTATTTCTAGATAAACCACAGAACATTCATTTTGTAGGTTTTCAGGTTTTGCTTATAAATTAAGATGAGGCAGTAGAAAAGAGTCATGGGAAAAGACAGAAGAAAACAGACAAGTCAGTTGCCCGTATGGATGGCCTCAGATTCTGCCTTGACGATGAAGCAGAAATGTTCAACATTTACCTGCTAAGAAGCTTATAAAGATGTAGGTTCCACAGAGGAATGTAAACAGCAACAACCAGATTTGAAATAACAACGGCAAGCTCTTCCATTCAAACTTTAACTGTAGCCTCTTCTTTTAAGTTCATTTAATAAAGACAAAATCTACATTGAAATCTGGTGAGCTCATAAACTTCTTTTTGGTAATTCCCTTAACTGTCCATTAGATTTTTAATACCATGCTCAAAACTCCTACTAATCACAGGACAATTATGGCCTTCACCATAACATTTTTTTTTCAGCTTTAATTGAGTTTATTGGTACATTTTAGGGTTTCTCATTTTTTTCCCTTACCCCTGCCCTCCCTTTACCCCCTCCTCCCCTCCCCATCTACAAACACTTTATTTTCATCTTTTCATTATCTCACATTTTTTTCTTTTCCCTTATTACCCTTCCCCTACCCATCCCACCTTCCCTACACCTTTAGCTCCTTTCTTCTCATTTCTAAATGACAGTAATCTTATTAGGATCTTATGTTTTATTGCAGATTATTCACACCAGGGAAACTATTTGGTATTTACACATGTGTGACTTATTTATTTCACTTAGGAGTATATCTTCAATGTGTACCATAACATTTTATAACATGCATTCCTTTCTCCCACACTACCTCAAAGTTCATTTCTTCAAAAACTGACAACTCAATACTTGAAAGTGGATACACAATGACAGTGTGTTATCTAAAATGACTTAATTAAAACAATTCCATAGGACCACAGCAGAGGTCAGGCCTAAGTGAAGCGTGCCATTTAACAGTGCTATCTTCTGGAAGAACAGACAGGTCTCAGGTAAAATGGCTAATCCTGAGGTTACCATGTGACCCAGAGATTGTTCTAGGAAGAGAAATGAAAACACTCACCCACACAAAGACTAGCGTAGGAAAGTTCATAGAAGCAATATGCATAACAGCCAAAAGGCGAAGACAACCTGAACATCTAAAATCAAATGAAGAGATATCCAAACTGTGATATATCCATACAGTGGGAATGAAAGAAAGTACAACATGGGTGAACCTTGAAAACATGCTAAGTTAAAGACACCAGTCTTAAAAGTTCGCATACTGTGTGATTCTATTTGTATGTAATACCAAGAACAGGCATGTTGTGGAAGGAACTAGTATACACGGAGATGGAGGAATGGGTAAAACAAAAAACGTTTACTTTGCTAGCAAAGGGTCGGCCAGCACCAAGAGCTGTGTCAAAATGACTGACCCTGAGCTGGGTGACAGTCTGTCTTTTTATAGTAGTCTTACAATCATGACCTCATTCTAGGTGATAAGACATTCTAGCTCCCATAGTTCCCATCACAAATCATGGTCACAAGACAGTACAGTGTTAACCCAAATGTAGCAGTTTCTTTCAGGATGTTTATTTCTAGCTATTCCAGTCCACAAGATTGGGGGTCAGAGTTAGGAAAGCAGGACTGGTGACATTCCTTTCATCTTAACTTTTTTATCTCAGACTATTTACAAAAGTTCTCTCTATCAGGCAGACCTATAGCTATATAGAATAGATTAGTGATTGTTCAGGGTTGGGACTGGGTGGGCAGGATGACGGGGAGATAATAGCTAGAGTGTGGGTTTTTTGTTTGCTCGAAGTGATGAGTGTGTTCTTAGTTAACTCTCGTAATGATTGTACAACTCTGAATATACTAAAAATCACACTGTTGTACACTTTAAATAGGTGAACGGTATAATAAATTGTGAGGTATGATCAAAATATATGGTAAACATTTAAATCTTAAAAATTTTATTATAGTAAAAGACAGATTGCCCCGAATCCCCACAAAATACCTCCCCTGGCTTCAGTCGTACTTATACTGTAGTTCTTGCCACTGTTGGAAGCAGTTCTGGAATTCCTCTCTTGTGAGTGTCTTTTTAAATTGTGTTTAAAAATACGATGACTGCTGCTGCTGAATGCCAGCCAGTGGAAAGGCAGGCTTGTTACGTGAAAGAAATCAGACACACAAGGTTAGATATCGCATGGTTTCTCTTATGTGAGAAATCCAAATTATAAATAAAGAGCAAAATAACAGGTAGATAATGGAGCGCAAAGAGATAGATCTTTCTCAAAATGGGACGGGGATTAAAAGAGGGAGGGAGGGAAAGAGAGGGGAAGAAAGAGGATGACAAAGGAATGAAGATTTATTATGTACATGGACCGACTCCACACGAGGTGTATTAATGAAAAAATTACAGTGTGTCCTCATCTGCCTTACTCACAAGATCTGGCACTGTGTAACTTCTGGTTCTTTGTCCAACTCAGAATGACCATAAAAGATAAATGTTTTTAATCCATTTAGGACATTGAGGAAGCCATGGCACGGTAATTAAAGACACTCACAAAAGGAGACTTTCGGAGCTGCTATAGAAAGTGGCAAGAACAACGGAGTAAGTATGTTTGAGGTGAGGGAGAGTATTTTAAGGGGGCTTAGTGGCAGTTTTCTGTATACTGTAACAATTTTTTTAAAAAACTAAATATTCATTGTATGTTTCAATCATACTTCACGAAACAAAATTGTCCTAAAAACATTACTAAAAAAAGTAAGTTAAAATCTACTACAATGATTGTATAGAGCCTATTTTACTTGTAGCTTTGTCATGATTTGCTTTTCATATTTTAAATCCATGCTATTAGGTGCACACAGATTTAAAATTATCTTACTGATAAAGTGAAACTTTTGTACAGTAAGTACAATGTTTCTCATCTTTCATAGTGCTTTTTTGTTGTAATGTCTGTAGTATGTTTATACCATTTTCCTTGTTATTCTAAAATAAAACATACACACACATGCACACACGTGCGCGCACACACACACACACACACACGTGCGCACGCGCACCTTTGTACTCATGAGCTGAGTACAGCAAATTAATTCCTTGAAAAGCAATTGCTGGTGAATGGATACATAAGATTTTAACTTGGCAACATTGACGCGTTGTCCAAAGAAGCCACCAAGGGAGTTTGTCAATACCCCTTGAGTTTGTCAGAGTTTCTACATAGATATCTTAAAGTTCGAGCTTCTTTTACTCAGTCATGAAGAAGAGGAGGGGGGTGAATGAATCCATGCTCAGCCCCTCGCCAGGCACGTAGGCCTGGTCTGCAAGGACACGTTGCTGCGGGAGACTCACCTTGCTAATCTCTGTCAGGGACATGGTGATGGTGTAGAGTTGGTTCTTACTGGTGCTGGCAATCAGGGTTTCCTCCGAGGGGCTGAAGCACATACACAGAACATCCTGTTTGTCAGACTGACTTGGGTCATTGCTCTGTGGGTCCATAGGAATCTGTCAAGACACAAAAGAGCTATCAGTAATGGCCTCACATGGTCAATGGGTCCTTGGGATTTGAGAGTTCATCCAGGTAGTTTCAGCTCCAGGGCTCCCAAACTAGAATGCTTCCCATCTCCTCAGGTGCGGAGGAGGGAGGGGCTGAATACCTCTGCTTTTGTGGGTTTTAAATACCACCAAGCATTCACCTTTAGGTAACTAGAAGCTGAGTAATAAGTAGCAGCATCTGTGGAAATTATCAACCCGTGCGTCTCGATTTGTGGTTCTCTTTAAAACACACATCTGGCTAAATACCACTCTCACCCACCTGCTGGGAGCCCAGTGCACAAGCTCACCTGGCAATGACATACTAGTGTTGCTTCAGGGCTGCAGAAGGATGTGGCAGCCCTTCTACCATGTAGGGTGGGTGAGGGCAGAGCAAAGAGGGCTCACACAGTGTCTTCCTGCCAGTGTCTTTGAGAGGGTTTATGCTTCTTAGGTAGGCATAGTAACATTTTCTTTCTGCAGCTACTTGTCTTCTATTAGCAGCTGAACTCATTGAAAGGCTAGCCTATATACCTGTTTTGTTTCCCTACCATGTGCTTGGTTCTTAAGTCCTTAGAATTTGGCTTTTGCTGCATCATGACCGGCAACGGTCCTCAGGAAGACCAGAAATCTCATCACCTAAGCTCTTTATTTTTCTAGAGCTTGTGGCCTCGAAGGCAGCCCTCTCCTCCTTGGGGTCTAGGATATTGGGCTTGTGTGCTTGGCTCCCTCTGTTTGGAGTCTTGCCTTCCCACATAGCTCAATCCTTCTTCATGTTGCCAACACTCCTTGCTCTGCCACCACAGCAAGGCTCCAGGAAGCTTTCACTGACCTCCTTCACACTGGGTGTGTTGTGGGGGGACTAATATTCCCTCTATGCACCCATAGCTCCCCTTGTCACATTGATCATACTGTGCAAAGTCCAATGGAAACTCAACAATGGGTGCTCAATGAAGGAAAGGACGTTGCCTTGTCTCTTTCCTCCAGACACAGTGAAGCCCTGGGGAGAGGGGATCATATCTAACTCATCTGTCTCAGCCAAGCATAGAGTCTGCCCCATTGCAGCTGCACAGAAAATTTGTTTTTTTGTTTGTTTGTTTTGAGACAGGGTCTCACTATGTAGTTGAGACTGACCTGGAACTCACTATGTACCCAGCCTGGTCTTGAACTCACAGCAATTCTCCTGCCTCAGCCTCCCCAGTGCTGGGATTATAGGCATGCACCACCACGCATGGCAGGAAGGCATTGTTGAATGAGTGAATAATCACAACTTTCAGTATCCTCTGCTGGGCTTCTATCTCATCTATTTCTAAATTAGGAAATGCCAAGTCTTGTCCTTAGTCATTTTTTCTTCTCTCAGGGTATTTTATCTCTCAGTGATTTTGTCTAATATGAAAACAATGATAGTAAATATAATGATAAATAAAGTAGTAGAAATAAGGTGTGTGTGTGTGTGTGTGTGTGTGTGCGCATCCATGCGTGTGTACATACTGAACTCCCCATCAAAGTCCATTCCATATTTCCAACTGCTCCACTGGATTCTGGTCTTTGTTACCTTTCTCAGAGGTCTCCCCCAGCCACTCTGGAACAGACCTCTCTGCCTTCCTGTCCTCCCTCTGGCTTTGTTTTCTTCACTTTATTGATCCTCATCTGAAACCCTGTTTATGTTTTGTCTCTTTGCCCACTGTTTGAGTTCTAAGGGAAGGCTCTTTTGTTGGCTGGCTTCCCTGCTGTATTCCCAGCCCCTTCCACAGAGCCTGACATGCAGTAAATGCTCAATAAATAGTTGTTAAATAAATTAATAAAAGAGTAAATTGCTTAATGAGCAAAGTAAACTCATGCTGCTTCTGCTTTCTTACCTCATCCCCACCCTCCTTGGTCTACTCCCTCACCCTTTTCCCAGGCATCCACTTCAAATCTTGTCCTCTCTGAGGGCCCTTCCCTCTGGTCTGCTGACTCTGTGCAGAATTTATCTTCATGGAGGCCATCTCCCACCTCTGACTCCTGCTTCCCACATCCCTGATCTAATACATCATTTCCCCCTTCGACTACAATAAGGGAAATGCCTCTTAACTGATTCCTTCTTCTTTTGGTACCAGGGATCGAACTCAGGTCCATGAGCTTGCAAGGCCGGCGGCAGAACCACTGAGCTAAACCCCCGGTTCATTAACTGATTTCTTATCAGCAGAGTTAACTACTACCATTCTTTGAGCACAAAGCCCCAACTACTCCACATAAAAATTCCCACAGACCATCATTCCATCCTTTTGATAACCACGAGGGATGTGTTATTTTTTTGTTTTGTTTTTGATACCGGGGATCGAACTTGGGACCTTGTGCTTGGGAGGCAGGCAGTGGCACCACTGAGCTAAATCCCTGGCCTGGGGTTGATTATTTCTCAGTGAAGAAGCACGAGTTTTGGTACACCCAGAAACTCAATACAAGCCACTTGCTAACAAGTTGCTGACTTGAATTTGATCCATTCTGAATATTTCTAACTGCGTCAAGCCCAGTGCCTCTAGAATAACTCCACCATGTGTCATGGGCAGATTCCTTTTCCTTAGTATAACTTTTGCACTCACAACCTTGCAGGATGCTTGCCGAGTTATGCACACACCTCTTGGCTGGTGTTTGAGGTCTTTCATTTGCCTCAACTCCTCTCTTTCCCCTTCCAGTATCTTTAATCTCTTTTCACTGGGGAACAGAACTTCTCCCAAACAACACCTACCCCCACCTCTGTGGGCACTTCTGTGGCAGCTGTCCCCTCCATCCAGAGTTCCTAGTTTCTTCCTAACATTGTCCATCTTCTAAGACCCTTCATCAAAGATTATCGTCATGCACTAAAAAGGCTTCCAATTCTTTTCCACCTCTCTGTACAGTATCTCTCTCTACAATATTTAGTAACCTTTATTCCATAAGCATTACAGAATGCTTACGATGTGCCAAGTAGTGTGCTTGGCACTAAGTATCAGTATGCACCTATTAATATAATTATTATCAGAACACTAAGGCTCAGTGGGGAAGTGTATTTTGCCAAAATTCTCTTCCAGGATTCAAATCCACACCTGCCTACGTCTCAGCTCCAGTTCTGTTCACTTCATCCTAAAACCTCCCTCTGGTTCATATGTCAAGTCAGCGTTGCATTTCTGTGGGACTGTCCACTGTTCCTGCATCAAGTGCCTTGTTCAGAGTGCTGCTCCTGGGGAACAAATGCCAATAGGACTGAGGTTTGGCTCCCCGCTCCTCCTACCCGGATTTCCCTGCTCTCCCGGTAAACGTCCTTCTCTTCCATCTTCTCAAACAACAGAACTCTTCCTGGCCCAGCAGAGCAGGCGAATCCTTTGGAATAGGCGGCAATGGCAAACACTCGGGGCATGGCCAGGTGGTCTGTTTGGATAGGGGTTGTCACCACATGCTCATAGGAAGGAAGCGGGGAACTGACTGGTGGAAATTCGACCAGGCTGGGAAAGGAAGATAGCACACAAAGTTTTCAGAGACAATCCCAAAGAGATGACTTCTTTTTCTTCCCAGCACTGGGGACTAAGCCCAGGGGTAAATTACTATTGTACCTCAACCCCACCAAGTGGCCCAGGCCGGTTTTGAACTTTTGATCCTTCTGCCTCAGCCTCTGGAATAGCTGGGATTATAACTGTGCACCATCATGCTCAACTGGAAGATCAATTCTTCTTGGGAAAAAATAAAGGGAAATCCTCAGATGTGAGAGAAGTCACCCACTGATCCCCTTTCCAGGCCTTTGTCCTGGGAATGCCACACAACTCCAAAGAGATAAGAATGGCAGGCTTTCCATTTATTTGGCAGTTTTGCAACACTATGTGGGCAACTATAACAACGATGATGGTTCTCATTTTGTTTAGAAATAAGTGGCTTAGAGGTATTGGGTTTTCCAAGATCACACAACTGTTAAGTGGCAGAGCTGAGATTTAAATACAGATCTCTATTTTTAATCTAGTCATTAATTCACTAAATAAATATTTATATTTGTTAGGAATATTTGTTAGTAGTTAAATTGTGTTAATGGTCCCATGAAACAATGGTCCTTGCTCTCAGAAGCTTACAATCTAGGGAGAGATGAATGAACTAAGGGCTGTTAGGGGCAGCTGAGCATGATGGGAGAGCTGGTAGGCAGGTAACAAGGGCTGAGGACAGGCACAGAGCAAGTGCACTCATTTGAGGTAAACAGAGGCTGAGTCCTGAGAGAGACAGGAGCATGCGCATAAACAGGAGTGTGTCGAGTATGTACAGGTATCTACCGTGTGGAGCGGCTGGGGAGACAGGGAGCTGCACATGGCCAAGCCCACAAACAAGTATGTATATGGGGCATGTGAGGCAGCCGAGATGACAGCTCATGGTTCATGTTAGGGAGGTGAGAGCTGTGGAATGTGTAGGGTGAGCTAAGAAGCTTGGGCTTTGTGCTGGGAGCACTGGTCCCACTGAAGGACTTTGCACACAGCAAACTGGAGGAGGGCATAGGGCAGTGTGGGTGAATCCTTGAGCTTTCAGTGACACAAACAGCATGCTGTGCCACATGTTCACCACCACTGGCATAGGGACTTCTTAGGAAGCTCCCACAGAATCATGACCGAAAAGGAGAGGTCACTGGCATGCGGGAATGGTGAAAAATGGGTGGGCTGGAAGTTACTCAGGACTAAGAGTCCACAGGATGCCATGTGGTAGAGAGTTGGAGCTCTTGGTTCAGACATATCTGGGTTTGAATCCTGATCCTGCCACTTACCAGTTCTATGATCTTGGGTGAGTCTTTAAACCTCTTTGAGCCTCAGTTTCTTGATCTAGAAAATGGACATGATAATCACATGTACTATATAAGGAAAGACTAAAATGGGAATAGAGTCTTTAAAGCAGCACCTGATATGCTCAACGGTACATTCTAATATGTGTGAGATATGGTTGCCCCTAGTTATAATAAAGGTTAAACTGACCATTCCTTCTTGAGATCCCCTCCTTTATCCCACACTCTTCGGTCAGATTTACTTAAAATATTTCCTTGTCTTTCTTTGTTGAACTTTTGGCTCCTAAGTGAATTGTAGGGTCCTCAAGACCTCATGAGGTGCCTTGCTCAGTGAACATTTATCTAATTCAGAAACTAGTCTTACTAAAAATGTTTTTGAAATGAGTCAGGTATAAAAATAAAAAAAATAACTATCTTCATCATAATGCAAATTTCAGCTTGAAGATGGATGAACACCAAAAGGAAGAAGTAAAAAGGATGAAGTTGGTTTTAAGGTAGAGGGGTTTTGGAAGTGTTTTGAAGGGCTTCTGAAGAAGGCTACTTCTGTACCATGAGTGGCAACACCAGCCCAGCAGCTTTTTACCTCTCTGACTCCTGAATGATGTCCAGGCTCTTGGAGCCGCTCGTGGGCTCCTTGACCATTATGTTTGTCTCCCAGCGTTGATCTCCAGATTCAAAGAGAAAGAGCTTGCCTGTGTCCGTGCCCACGATAATCTTGTCATCAGCCAGCCAGGCATGGGCTAGGTAGTTCTGAGGTTCTCCTCTCTGAAAATTGGTTTGCTTTAGGGTGCCCTCAGCAAAACGGAGAAGCTTAAACATCCCGTTTCCAGTGACACAAACCTGAGTGTTATCCTGGGGATTGATGCTCACCTGTAATAAAACGATTTATAAAAAGAATCTTGATGGAATTATTTTTAACTTTACTAGTTAACACTCACTTCATCAATGGTCCTTTTATATATAGACACAGAATTTTATACCACATTTGATAAGGGCACACATTTATACCCATTATATGTGCAGGGCTTATACAAGTCAAACTAGCACATCTACAAAGGTTAAAAAAAAAAAAGGCAGAATGAGTAGGTTTCCTTGTTTTGTTTTTTGGATGCCAGGGATTGAACTCTGTTCCTTGTACTTACAAGACAGGTGGCAGAACCACTGAGCTAAGTCCCCCGCCCTGAGCAGCTTTTGACAATAACTGAACTCTGTGCTAAAAGAAAGCTCAGCAGGAAACAGAGAGAAATGAGGATTAGGGCAGGTGTCTGTGGCACTGTCCCGGGAGAAGAAACCTCATGGTAAGGGATACTGGGTTCCCACCAACTTCCATTAGACAGGGAGCATCTTTGGGGTTTGGCTTTGTAATCTCTGTATTCCAAGCACTGGATTTATAGTGGGCAGCCAACATATAGTCATTGAATCTACTCAAGAAGTACTTCCTCTCTGCTCTAAATTGGGATATTTCATTAGGATTCAGTATGGCCGGCATGAAATAACCTCCAGGGTCTACCTGCCTTTCATCTGAGATCATCAAGCAACCTTCTGATGACTAATTTCACCTCTCACTTCTCTGTATTTGGAACAGAATACCCTGGACAAATGATGTGTGTTCTGGATGTGCTCGTGTATACACCAACCTCATATGAGATGCATAACTGAATCTATGCTTGAAGCACTGATTAGCTACTATCATTGAATATGAACAAACTGAATGTGTGAACTTGTAAAACTGAGTGCAAGATCCCAGACTGGGGCTACCGTGCCAAGACAAAACCTTAGGGCTTTTTGCCTTAGCAGGCAATGAGCTATCTAGTGGCTCTTCCTTATTTTGCCGTCAGATCAATTCTGATCCCTGCATAACTGCTACTTCATCAACAGCTTCCTAAAGATCTAACATTTTACTCCTCATAACTTCTTACTGCCCAGGAATACTAATGGGAAGAGGCCAGAACCAAGGAGAGAGAAGGAGCAGAGTATTACGCAGCTAGCACTGGGCCTAACCTGTAACCAGAGAGCAGTTCTGAGCCAGGGGAAAGAAGACAAGAGCTGGAATCAGAGAACTCTGGCTCTGCCATTTACCCCCTGTGATTGTGGATAAGAGTTACTTAATCTCCGGGAGCCTCGGTTCCCTCATCTGTAACGAGGGGATAATAATCATGCCTTCCTTACAGGATATTATGAGACTAAAATTTTTAAATGCATGTAAAAAATAAGCACCGTGGTACAAAGGAAACATTCAATAAGAGACTCCTGTTACTATTTTATATTCTGCACAGTACTAGTTATACTATGAGTTACCTGGTAGATAGGATTGTTCTGAGTGTCAGCTCTAACAATGGCCATCACTTTCTGCTTTTCCCAGAGCCAGTAGACAAGGTTTGACTCTGGAGGTGATGTCTGAGTCAGGAGGTATTTGGAGTCTGGAGAAAAAGCCATGCTGGTGAATCTTTGAACTGAGAAGTCAAAATTACTAAGAACTTTACGCTTTCGGCAAGGGATGCATGACAGTTCATAAATGGTGATGGCAGGTTTCTCTTGTATGATTTCGGAGATAGCGAGGTATCGTCGATTGGGGCTGATTGACAAGGTCAACATGCCCTGACTCTTGTCCGAACCTGCAGAGGGAAAAGGGAGAATATGGGCAGTCGATGCTGTCACCAAGATTCAAGTAGTGGCACTGCTGACACAAAGGAGAAAGATGTGTGAAAATGTGATTACCAGTCCCTGGCTATCCTTGCTGCAACCACATCTGGGGTATTGTGACTAGGATGGGCACCTCACTGAGGATGAGGTGGGGAAAGGCAAAGAACCTTTCCTGACATAGGATGAGGTGGGATGGTGGCGGCACATGGCAGAGAGAGCTTGAGCAAAACTGTGGATGTGACAAAGGGCACAGCACAGTGGGTTATTGCTGCACGTGAGTCAGGGGTGATCAAAGATCAGTCTAGAAGGGCAGAATGGGGTCCCGTCATAGAAGTTTTCATGCCCGAAGTGCCGAGCACACAACACTTCCTCTACTCCAGAGACTGGGATGATCAAGAAGGGCTCCATCAGCCACTCTTGCAGTTAGTTACCGGATGACATTCTGGCTGTGAGATTGATGCAGAAGTCTGCCAGAGTGGTTTACGATAAAGCTTTGTGCTTTCCTGGAAACTGTGGACAGGCCGTGAGTGGTGGCGCACATCTATAATCCTAGAAGTTGTGAAGCTGAGGCAGGAGGATCGCTGCAAGTTTGAGGCCAGCCTGGACTGCACAATGAGTTCAAAGTCAGCCTGAACTACGTAGTGAGACCTGTCTCAAAACAAAGCAAAGCAAAGCAAAACAAAGCAAAACAAAACAAACAAAAACTAGGGACAGATGCATTTCTGGAATATAGAGGTGATCTCTGGATATTCAACAGTCATCTTGCAACCATGAAATAGTAAGCATAAAAATGAAAGCTGTGGTCCTCCAGAAAGTGAAGCCTTAGGCAAAGATTAGAGTGTAAATATTTTATTGAAGAAATGCAATAAGGCCACTTTATAATTTCATGGGCCCTCAGCACTTTTGCTTTCATGGGTCCCTTCTTCCACTAAAAAATGGTAAGAAGACATTTATTTTTATATACAACTTAAAAATATATAGTCACACATTTTATGGCTGCATTGATATAAAAAGGAGTATAATCATGGCTGGATTCACTATTATATATCTATTACTGTTAAATTCATATTTTTTTCTGATTTAAAACAAAAATATTTTCATGGGCTTCTAAAAGTATTACGGGTGTTAGGAACTGTGCACAGTGGACAAGTCATCCATGAATGTGGGCTGGTCAGGCAGAGGGGGGAGTGAGGCAGGGCAAGATGAGCTAGAAAGTGATGTGCAGGGTCCCCATGTGATGGGCTCCATGCCGCTGCTTCAAAAGGCAAGGACGGAATGACAGCCTGCTTGGCAGCATCTTGTCAGGGTCTCCTCTGGAAGGGCTGCAGGGAGTAACTGCATCTCAGAAAAAAACCAGGTTCTGGGCCACTTGCACAAGAGTTTGGGCTTCACTTGGGAGGCAATGGAAGCCACCGAAAAATTTTCTTCCCTCCCTCCCTCCCTTCCCTCCAGTGTGTATTTTAGGAAAAGCTCTCTGGCAGCTGTAGGGAGGGCAGTCCTGGAGGGAAGGAAGCCAGTCAGCAGACCATTTGAAGAATGAGAGGCGATGGTAATAACAGGCAATGGAGGTAGAAGGAGGGGAGGGGATACGAGGTTAGACAGATGTTAAGAAGTAGAATCAGTCGCACTTAGTGATCTCCGGGGTTTTAGGAGGGAGAGAAGTAAGTAGGGACGACATTTAGGTTTCTGGTTCGGGTGTCTAGGAGAGGTGGTACCCCTCAGATAGAATGGAGGCGGAGGAAGTTGGGGGTTGTCTTAATTACTTTCTCATTGCTGGGACAATATCCATACGCAATACCCATAAGTTAAAGGAGGTGAGGTTTATTTTGGGCCATAGTTTGTAGAGGTTTTAGTCCATACTTGGCTGGCCTCCAAGCCAGGTGGCATGGCAGAGGGGCGTTTCAGAGGAGGAAGGGCTTATGGGTAGGCAGGCAGGAAGCAGTGAGGGACCAACACAGGAGGAAGGATACACACCCTGCCAGGCCATGCCCACGCTGACAAATCTCTTCTCACCCTATTCAGTTCTCAGCATTCCACCTAGCCATAGACCTGTCAGTGGACTAAGCCAGTATCACACGTCATGATTCAGTTGACTCCTAAAAGCCCCATCTGTGACTGCATGAGGTTTTGGGGGAACAGCTAGCTATTAAACCGTAACAGGGGTGACGGTAAAGATTATATCCATTGACTTTTGTTTAAAATGACACACCCGAATATTTGATATTTTTTGTATTTGTATCTAGTTTTTTATGGTTTGATTTTTTTTTTAATCCGAAAGTCTTCAATCCATCTTGGGTCTATGATGATAAAAGATAGGAAGTGGGGGCCAGGGATTTAGCTCAGTGGTTCTGCCACCTGCCTTGCAAGCTCAAGGTCCCAAGTTCAATCCCCATACCAAAATAAATAAATAAATAAATAAATAAATGGAAGCAAAGATCCAAATTTGTTTCCATTTGTCAAATATCTGACTAATTGTCCCAGCACTAATTACTAACACCACCTATGTAACATTATTAAAGTTAGTACTTTTTTATTTCTTGAATATTTATATTAGGGCCATATTGCTTTTGCAATCATATCTATGTCAGGTGTTTAGCTTATGTGTCAGGTAGGATCTCAATAAAAGAGCCCGAGAAATAAGGTCATGATAAATTGGATTTTAGATATAATGTGTGACGTCCATCTCATGGAACACTGGGTAAAGAGGTCTAGTGGCTGGATATAATTCTGAAGCTGGGGCAGAGGTTGGGACTGAAAAAATGGATCTGAGGTGAAAAGCTAAACAAAACAGTTCACCAAACCAAACCAAACCACCACAACAAAATGAAATAAGACATGTAATATAAGGACAAAAATTATATAACTAGTCAGTAATCTATCAGAAATAGGGATGAAATAAAGGATTTTCAGACAAAAAAAAAAAAAAACTGGGCGAGTTTAGCACTAACACATTACCACTAAATGAAGAAGGAAAATTATACCAGCTGGAGTAAAGGGTATTGGTGGCAGAGTTTAGTAAATGTGAGAGCAAATATGAACAAATATTGTCTCCATGAAATGATGGCTGATTTAATGTTAGAAAATCATATGATCTTATATAAAAAACAGAAAATACATACATTAAAATTCAGTATGTGTTCACTGGGGTCTTAAAAAGCATAGCAAATTATAAAAAAAAGAAATTTCCCTAACTTGACAAAGGACACTGACAAATCTCTATAGTAAACATCCTTCTTTATAAGAAAATGTTAAAAGAATTCCACTTTATAGCAGAAAACAACAAAGATGTCTATTTTCATTGGCCCATTTGAGTCTGTCTGGAGGTGTTTAGCACTACTGCAACACACACAAAAAAGTAATTAAACCATCATTATTTGTAGATAATATGTAGAAATCCCAAAGACTCTACAGATAAATTATACTATTAATGATAATTTAGCAAATATGCTGGACACAGAAATTAATAAATAAAAGTCAACTGCATCCAATAAATTTTTCCCAACAGATATAACATGATGTTTGATAAATCTGACTCCATAAGAACTAGGAATTTCTGTCCATCAAAAGGTACCATAAGGAAGAAGAAAATGTAAGCCTCAAAGTTGAATTATTTGTAACACAAACATATGAGAAATGATTAATAGACAGACTGTATAAGTTATGCTCATAAAAAAGGAGAAAGTTACTACAAAAATCTTAACCTCCACATAAGAGATAGAAAATGAGTAAAAGAGTTGAAAAAGGTATTTACCATAAGGCTAAATAGAAATAGACCACACATGTGTGAAAAGATACTCATCCTCATTAACAATAGAGAAATGCAAACTCAAGTGACAATAAGATACCAATAAACCACTAGTTTAGGAGAAACAAAGTCTCATAACACTAAGGGCTGGCAAAGTCATGGAGCAATGAGGGCCCTTTATGCATCGCTATGGGGAATGTAAATTGGCACTACCTTATTTTTTGGTAATTTTAGTCTTGGTTGTGTGCTCTGGAGAATCTTTGTACAAGTAAAGAAGCATATATAAATGCAAGCGTGTTTATAGTGGCAAGTTTCTAATAGCAAACAACTGTTATTCTATCTCTATCTATATACATGAGACATTGTATCCATAGCCTAGAACACTATATTGAATAAAATGAACTCAATATATCTATATATCCATATCAAGATGCATGAATCCCAAAAGCATTTTGTTGAACAAAAAGGTCACAGAATACATACATTCTGACTCCATTTACAAAAAGTGAGAGAATAGAAAACAGCATACTTTACATAAAGTGACACATAAATATATGGTAGAATTTTACAGAAAATAATCATAAAATCCAAGATGGGGTGTGTGTGGAATGTGGGAAGAAGCCAATGGGGAGAAGCACTGGACTGGCAAAGTTCTATTTCCTATCTTGAGTGGTTGGGTTCAAAGATCTTCATTTTATAGTAATTCTTTAGCTATGACATATATACAATAAATACTCTTTTATATGCACATATCACAATAAAATGTGTACAATGGGAAAAATGAATAGATTGAATTGTCATGGATATGATCTATAGGACTAATGTGAACGAAAACAAATGTAATGCTATACAGAAAGTTATTTGTGACGTAGGTAAAATTTCTAGTGTCTTCATGATACAAGCATTCAAAAGGTATAATTAAGGTGGTGTGTTTTTCAAAACTGTTAGACAACTCCAAACAGCCTCTGGTGATGACAAAGCCAATAATACTGAAGATGTGTGAAAAGAGATTCATCAAGCTAATTTTTCAAGATATTACAGTGAGAAATAGTTTTAACACTTTATGGTTTTAACTGTCTTCGATTAATCTATAATTAAATAGTGCAACTTACATTTATATTCTCTACATTTATAAAATTATATGCATATTTCATTTGCTAAAAAATTTTTTTTTGCTAATCATGGTGTTGAGATTATGGAACTCTATAGGGCACATGCCATTAATACATATATTAGGATGCAAAGGATTGTACCTGGAATGAATTTTTGCCATTTCTGATCCACGTTGTACTTCACACAGTAATTTCCTGCAGGAAATATAACAATCTGTTCATCGAAGAAGAAGACATTGTTGGCTACGTGAGATCGATGACCAAAAACATGCAGTGACTGAGCTACCACGGTCGACATGGTATTGGTCCAGAGTTTTGCTAAAATCAGAGAGT